CATATATATATATATATATATATTAATATATTTATATATATATATATATATATATATATATATATATATCGTTACGAATTTAATTAATATTCGATTTGACTTCATTACGTTTGGGCTTGATTCGTGTGTGTAATAGGTTCTCTCGTGTAAAAGAATGGACTTTATCGTGCGTCTAGTATGATAAAACACTCGTGTTTTTATAATATTATATATATGTATATATATATACATATATATATTTATGTATATATATATACGCAATTGATTAATAATGAACCCTTTGTAAAATTATGTATGTCTAGGCGTCGCGCACGCCGATCTCGGCGTTTTCTGTTCCGCTTGTATATGACTATCAACGGGTCATTGAGCGTTGCGAGAATACTTGGATCATGCTTGCGTAATGTAGACTGATGTAAAAATAGAAAAAACTAGTCATGTATAATGTATATTAGAAAAATAAATCAATTAAGAAAATTCGATATTTTTGTGCAGTTCAATGCTGGAGTATGGTGGCCGAGATGGCTACGGATATTTTTAGCATTTAGTTTTAATTAATTTTTATTTCAAATTAATTTTCATTCCAAATTCATTTTCATTTCAAATTAATTTTTATTCCAAATTAATTTTCATTTCAAATTCATTTTCATTTCAAATTTATTTTCATTCCAAATTCATTTTCATTCCAAATTCATTTTCATTCCAAATTCATTTGCGAGAACCTATGCGAGAACATATTGCTGGAGCGAGCTGCTGCGAGAACCAATGCTGGAGTTCAGTGACGTTACTTCCCTTAGTGGGACTCAACCAAAGATCATATACAATAAGATGGGACAGCCGCTATGCTTGCCATACAGTTTCGATGTCCACGCGCGACACCCAGCGCCGACCAACGGCGAGTAGGGTCCGCAGTGCTTACCAGCTGACTGCTAACAACAGTAGAATATATGCAGACGACACTCGAAAGTGCTCGAGTAAAAAACAAACATGATTTATTATAAATAGATGTTCAATTACATTTTTATCTCCATAAGCTCATTGCTATAGGTAGCTTGCACGAATCTGACATACAGTGTTAACTTAGCCGTACTAGAACGACGGGAATAAATACATTTTTAAGCAGCGGTAACGTTCGTGTGCGCATCAGCATAGTCGCAAGCGGCAGTGTAACCGCTTCATATAAACACGTCAGTGTAACGCGTTCATATAAATATAATTAGCCACCTCATAACCCCGTGTAGAATATTCGTGCATGTAGAAAGTATAGTCAATATTTGTGCACCTTAAGTTATATTGCAAGTACTGTAATGAAGAATGATAACAAATTGATATAGATCAGCATTACAATTCGGATTATAATTAAAATGGTTTGCAATTTATATAGAGAGGGAGGAATAAGTGTTTCGTTGTGGTGTGAAAACAAGAAAAAAACATACTGCAGCGAATTGGTCTCATCGAAGATTATTTCACATAATAATTACTATATATATGGTACTATTTTATCATATTTTAACTATAGCAATTAACCATATCTCGTAACACAGTGACACGCTACAGAAATGATAACAAGGGAATCCTTGCATCCCCCCATGCACCGGACTGGCGTGTAAGGTTCAACAACAACAACAATTATTTTGCCATTACA